AGCGCAGGTGCCAGCAACAGAACATACCATAAACACTCAGCTAGGGCAAGATATAAAGTGAGTGGACTTCTTCCAGATCCTAATCCATGAGGAAAAACCTTACATCACCATACACTGATGTCAACAGAGCTTAACTAAATACTTGAACTACTGTTAAGACCTTATCTTTACTGTGAGATACAAACATAGTTCTGTCTCTTGCTCCAAATTAGTGATTCTCAGTAGTTACGTCCCTAATGTACTTGATAACAGTCAATTTCTTGCTTCAGAGAGCACCAGAAAGAGGGATCATCTCGTGGTCCTGACCTAAAGAGCTTCTACTGGCCTACACACTTCCTGCGGAATATCTTGTTTGTAAGACAGCTGCAGTCTACAACAGCCAGGATACACGAGCTGTACTCGTAGCCCACCTCCACAAGCACGTACCAGGCTGCAATAGCTATCCTCAGGCCATCTGCACTTTCACAAGGCAGCCTTTGCTGGCATGCTCCACCTCAGGTGCTGCACGAAGTCCTCAGCTGTCAACACACTCTAGAGAAAACACTCGAGGCGGATAGTCAGCCCACACCTCGTATGGCCTGCCAGATAGTCCTGCTATGCATTGCTGCAAGCAAAGCTTGAATTTGATTCAGGACCATCTTTGTACTACACTACTGCTAGAGCTGGGCAAACTTGATCAAGCTGTGGCACGTAGCCTAGAGGAAAGACAAGGTTACATGAGCTGGGAGGCTCCATTTCCCCTCAAGCACGAGACTGAAAAAGGAGGCTGCCATGATCTAAAACGCCTCCTTCGGTAAAGGAGGCAAAAACACCTAATGGGACACAGGCTTTGGGCCTAGGGTTGTAGCCATCTTACATCTTCAGAGCACTTACCTGCAATACTTTCCCTTGTGCCTGGCAACCGCTCACGTAACACTGATCAGCCAGGAACCAGTTTTCAGGCAGGTAACAGCTTCTTAGAGCTCCCTTGCAAGTGCTTAGTCCATTTCAACAGCTCTTGGGAGTCTGCCCATGGCACAACCTCTTGCTGCAGCAAGGCAGCAGATGGGCTACATTTCTACCACCACTGCCCCTCCTCCTTCTCCAGGCACTTTCTGTTGCATACACCTTCATGTACCACAAATGGTGCCACTGATGCATACTGATACACCACAGCTTTCTCAGGCAGCAGAGAAGAATCAACGCCAAAGTAAGTGCAGAGGGTCTTTGTTGTTTCAGTTACCCCTAGGCTTTAGCTGAACTGGTGGAGTTCAGCATCCTTTTTTTTTTCCTCTTTTCTGGAGGATGCCCACTTCGGATGCCACCTCCCCTGCTCTCCCTCATCACAGCCCAAATTACACAATTTAAGCCCTCACCGGGAGCATAGCAGGGCCTAAGTTCACAGTTAAGCCTGTCTTTGGTTGGCAGACTAAGATACAGGGCAGGTTCAACACTAGCTTCTCCAGCATGGCACACATGAACACAGCCACGAAGACTCAGGACAACCATCCCCTGCAGCACTCAAGGCATCTCTGCCCTATGTAGGCAAGAGCATGAAAGACCCTGCGTTCACCCACCTGGCAGCATCTCAGCCCTGAGCATTAGACAAATGTCCACCTACAGAACTTCCCTCAGGAAGTAAACCTTCCCCTTCCCTATCCCCTTTGACTACTGAGGGGGGAGTCACCCCCTTTCTTGCACCTGATATAGCACCATTTCACCCAATGTACAGGTATTTCTACTATATTGCCAAAAACAAACAAAAATTCCCAACAGCTGAGGCAACAGCCATCTTGTCTCCCTATACGCCTCAACACTGTTGCCTACACTTACATTATCCTGAATACTGGATATTCTGTGTACAGCAGAGTGCTGGTCAGTCTGACTGGACAAGGGGAAAAGGGACAAGGGGAGGGAGGTGTCAGCCAGTTCCTTTCTCACCAAAGTTTTCCAAGGCAGAGACACCAAAAATGGTATGGAGGTCAGACTATTTCATCTTGAAGAACACTCATTGCACCCTTCCCTATCCCCTTCGACTACTGAGGGGGTAGTCACCCCCTTTCTTGCACCTGATACAGTGCCATTTCACCCAATGTACAGGTATTTCCAAAATACCTGTATATATTGGCAACACTGTATGGCACTGCATGCCACTGTATTGGCAATACCTCTATGTATTGCCATACATATACCTGTATACGTATGGCAATATATTGTCAAAAACAAACAAACAAAAATTCCTACCAGGTGAGGCAACAGCCATCTTGTCTCCTTACATGCCTCAGCACTGTTGCGTACACTTACATTATGCTGAATACTGGATATTCTGTGTACAGCGGAGTGCTGGTCAGTCTGACTGGACAAGGGGAAAAGGGACAAGGGGAGGGAGGTGTCAGCCAGTTCCTTTCTCACCAAAGTTTTCCAAGGCAGAGACACCAAAAAAGGTATGGAGGTCAGACTATTTTGTCTTGAAGAACACTCATTGCAGCAACCACCTGTGCAGCTGGACCTCAATATCTGTATTGCTGCCAGAAGTGGCTTCCCAGCCTGCAGTCTGCTGTGGGGGAGGAAGGAGAGTAGAGAAGGAAGCTTTAACTTGCCCCTGCTCACTCTGGTGATAGTGCCCAATAGCTGAGGGATAAAGGTGGTTCTCTGTAATCACTATCTGGCCCCTAAGCATAATCCCAGGACAACAACTGCACCCCCACTGTGGGAAGATAAATCATGTGCTAGTGCAGAAAGCTCCAAGACTGCTGGCAGCGAAAAAGGGTGGTCTGTGCTTTACAATGTGAGGAAGATACCTCTTCCATGGTTTTTGCCAGACTGAGGTCAAAGGGCCTGACAAGAGAGAAGGTGGAAACCTGACGCCCTTTGTCCCAACCCCAAGAGCTCATTTATGAGCTGAACTCTTGCCAATCCTTCTGTACCAAAGAGCCGAGGCACCCTAGCAGAGGAGGGATAGGTATGTTGAGCTTCTGGCACAGGCTTTCCCTCAGACATGTTTGAATCTGAACATATCAGTTGTGATAGGTAACACTCATAGGAGCAGCTTAGAGGCAGCTTGTTAACAATGCTTTTAAGTACAGCACAGCTCAACACTGGCCTCTAAACAAAGGTCAGGACCTTGGTCTGTTTGGGCATCACTGGGAAGTAAGAAGGGCTGCTTCCCATATGATGAAAGGGTCCCCAGTCAGTCATTTCCTTCTGTGGTAGAAAGGAACCATGGCCTATTGGTAAACTATTTTCCACCCTCTGTCATTTCCTCTCCTCAGAGAATCTATTTAAACCAAATCATTACTTTGGAGCAAACCAAACTAACATGTATGTAGTGCAAACAGGCACCCAGGTAAAAGCAGGACCCCAGGTACAAATTGATGCAAGTGTGGTAGCAGTTTAAACCTGCACCTACAGAGGATTTTAATATACGAAGGTATTTTAAAATCTTTTTTTTTTTTTTTTGAAAGAATGCACTCTCCAAACAATTACAGATCTTGTTAATGAAACAACCTTCACTTTCAGTACTGTATGTATATAAATAGAAGACTTTTAATTAAAAAAAAAAAAAGGAGTAAATAGCCCACAACCACCACCCGATTTCCCCCAGTCAGAGCCAATTTTATTTGCCTTTCTTCATTTTGGCAGTTTTTTCTTTCCGCTTCTTCACATGTTTTGGAATTTTGGTTTTCCTTTTCTCTCTTTGGGCTTCTTTAACCATCTTTTTCCTCTCCTACAAAGGATCAAATATTAGTCACTTAAAATCATCAAGAACAAGAATTTAGAGCGAACTGAATTGATCAGGTATGTCAACATTGTAACAAACGAGGAGTAAATGCTAAACAGCTTCGGCTCACACTCTCAATTGTTGCATTAAGTTGTTAAATATGTTAGCGTGAAAAAGTGGTAGAGGGGAAGACAGGAGTGGGGAAGGGGAAAGGATTAGCAGGAGAAGGCATTATGCCACTGCAGTAAACTATAATTTGTGTCATACTGTGAGAAGGCTACACTCTCCCCGAAAATGGAGAGTCAACACATTTAGGAAAACAAATAAACAAAGAAAAAACACTCTTAATCAGTTGTTGAGCCTACAGCTCAACATGTTGATTACCAAGCACCTCATCTTATTCACACAAAAAGTCCAGGGAAAATTGACCAAGACCTTCCTGCTTTGTATCCAAAAAGCAGCTACTACAGATTTCGAAGACAAGCGTCTGAAGGGGAACAGCAGAATCATTTAACAGAGCTGGCATCTATCATCTCTCATCCTTCTGCAGCAAGTAACCCCCCTCAACTTAAGCCACCATGAAACCAGCAAGTTTCTTTCTATTTTTGCACAGGGCTCTCACTTATAGGTGATATTCTGCAGAAGAGCCTGAACAAAACAGGGCACACATGCTACATAGTGCAAAAAAGGAAAACTAAAAACAAACAAAAAACCTAAAAACCTCTCTTTCTCATAGCAAAGCTAGTCAACCTTCACCAGTGGTTCTGCAAAAGTCACTATGGCATTGTTACCAAATTTCCAGTTCCACAGGTAAGTAGCCTCAATTCCCTGAGCAAAAGTGAGGGGGACCACCACTACACGCCTGCTGACCAAGTCTGGAAGAGCAGCCAGAGGTACTGAAAAGCTGTCCAGTCTTCATTAATTCCTGCATATGCATAGCTTCAGAATTCCCCAGGTGGATTTCTGACTGTCTAGACT